TACAGTGTGGACTCTTATATGGCAAATGTTGCTAATAAAATGAAAAACAGACACAAGCAAATGACTACAGCTTACTACCAGAGCTTAAAACTCATGCAAAATCCACACTCAGGTGTGTGGCAGGCTCACATTTACAGCTGTTTCTCCTTACTGAGGAAGCTTTGTAAAATACTTTAAAGCACACCACTGTAGCATTTAAATAACACAGTACTTGCAAATCAAAACATGGAATTAGAGCTTAAAACCAAACATACTTCATGATGCTATCATGGTAAGCTATAATATTAGCTTCTGGACAAAACTGTAACACGCTTTCCTTGGCAACCTAGAAACAAAACAAAAAAAAAGAAAACAAAAAAAACACTTATTATTTCTTCCTTCCCTCTAAAGACAGACTTGATACCAGTTGAGTATCGAGTAAGTTGGCTACCCTAATGCTGTGGATAGCCATGATAACCAACCAACACTTACCTCTGCACAGCAGAAACTACATTGGGACATGTTTCTAACACTATCCATAAAATAATACTGAGCAAGAAGACTTGAGCTTTGACTTTTTCCTCACCTGTGATTTTGATCTTCCAACATGTTTCTTTTGAAACAGAAACTGCCTGTTGAGATTGCTGACATCAATAGTATCCAAATCAATCTACAAACAAACAAGAGAGGCATTTCACTTCCACGGAAACAGAAGGAACGAAATCATGAACAGAGTTTGAAGGAAAGGTGAGACCAAAATGCAGAAACTTTACAGACCCCTTTTCAGGTGTCAGATCTGCACTAGAGCAACTGGACAGGCACAAGTGATCACCTCATTACCTTCAGGACTCCCACCCTGAACTCTGCTCTGGGCTTCCCCAAGGTGCAGGAAAGGCTGCTCCAAACCAACCAGTTTACAAATGAACATGGCTTTGAGCAACTGCATCACTGAACCAAGGGCTGCATCCCCATCTTACACACACACTGCAGGGCACGAGGTTTACTGGCTGTCACAGGACTAACTGCCCAAGTGCATGTTAAAAAATAATGAAGTTAGCTTACAAAATAAAAATATCCAATCACACAATCAAGGTGTCTAAAAACATACAGCACAGAACACCTGTGGTGTACAACCTCAAAGGATGCCATGTCTGCAATTCCCCTAAAAGCCTTGTTCCTATTTATTAATATATGCACAGGAACAGCAAAAATTCAAATGTCTTTAACCCCCACCACCAGAATTAAGATTTAACTAGAACTCTGACATTTATTCCTAGCTTTGTTACTACTTTTCCTCTAATTAAACAGTTTCTCTGATCAGTGACTCTTTTTAGAAGTCCTCTCCTGTCCTTAACATTTGTAACCAGGAGGAGGGACAGTTTTCCTGAGTATCAGAGATGTTTCTCACAATTCCCACAGATAATGGTGACAAACTCAACACAGCAACACTTTCACTGCACACTCCTCTCAGCCTGACAGTGCAGTGTGAAGGGTAAACATGACACTGAGGGTGTTCTCATACACTTCTCATTTTATGAATTATGAAAAAAACACTTATGGAACATCCTTTGCATGCAAGATCCAAACTCCAAGATAAAAATTCCTGTTTTCTGAAGGGAATATCTTTAATTTAAGGACTAAGCTTTAATATACTAAGAACTGCAATAGCTCAAGAGTTTTATTGAAACACTAAATATAAGCACTTGTGAATGTAGAGCAAACAGAAAAGATACAATGCCTTAGAAATGTATTATAAAGCAGAGATTGTTAAACTCTATCACCCACAGTATCAGAGTAAGTACCCATGGCCTTGTATCTTTTAATGAAAATGGTATTTGCATGAAAACACATTTCTACCTCCTTTCTTTCTCCTGAGACACAGAAAGCTTGTTTAGTCCAAAGCCAAAAAGACCAAGAACCTCAAGGCAAAACAATTAAGGGCAAAACTCTGTTAAAACTTCCACTACCCAGAAAACTTTGAGTATTTTAACTGGGGATGAGGACAAAGGGACACAAAATACCACTGCAAACAGCAAAAACAGGGTAAGGGAGGCAAAGGAAGGTTTTCTCCAGAGAGAAAACTTAGACTATTAGACCTTAACAGAAGCTCCAGTCCAGTTCAAAATGATCAAAATTTAACAGTTCACCTATTAAACAACTTCTACACAGCTACCATTTTAGTCAGCTGGAAGAAAAGGCATCAGAACTTCTTAAGAACATATATCATGTTCTTAATTCAGACCTGGATATTGAGTAAATTCATTTTGTTCTCCATTCCTGAGGACAACAGCCTTTCAACACAGTATATTTAAGTCACATATTTGTGAGTTGTCTGGTATTCAAAACTACCAATTTTTTTAGTATTAATATTTTTTAAAAAAAAATCACAACTTACTTATAAAAATATAAAGTATTTTCAAGTGTTCAGGTTTGTTAGTATTTAACAACCAAGGAAAACCCTCAACAATATCACAAATATTGACAAAAGCAATTTATTCCCCCGATAGCAAATTTCCTCTTTGCCTAATTATTACTTTTTTGCTTTCACCTTGTCTTCTACCCACCCATTCCTTATGTTAATAAACTATTACTGTCCTGCATGAAACACTGACAGCGATATTGTTAAATGAAGACAGCCCTGATCCAACATGTACTTAAGTTAATGGAGTTCAACCAAGTCAGCCTTGAAAGACAATACCAGAACCTAAATTATAATAAGCAAAACAATAAGCAGGAGATTTATGCCTAATGAACAACTGGAAAATCAGGAGCTATTAAACTCTATTGTAATGTTCTGCAGGAGGACACAACTGACTTGGTAAGGTGGGGAAAAAAGGGGGAATACTGCAGAAAATGCAGGTTTCCTCTCTTCTACAGTGTATTTCCCTGCTACAATGTTCAAATTGGAAAGGCTCTAAACAAAAGGGACAATCTGGAATTACTTTTTAAACTTGTAGAATGTGTTTTAAGCGTATCTCAGTGGGAAAGTCTGAGTTGTAGAGATAACACGGCAAACCAGTAGCTGTTGTTCTACGAGCTGATACAGTTCTAGGTACGAGCTGCTCCGCTCAGCCCGTCTGAGCACAACCCCAAACTCCTCCAGGTGTGACTCCTGGGCACACTCGGCAGGACAAAGGTACTCAAGGGAACAGACTGTGCTCCAGCTGGATTTGAAACCATGCGCTGTTCCTCATTTCAGTAAGGAATCGATACAGGTTTGGACACCGGGTAACCGAAGTTCTGCCGACAGCATTTCTCTCTATCCCGTTTCCATCACCCCCCCCACACACACCTGCCCTTCCCACACACTTTCAGATTAATATCTGGAAGCAAAAGTGAAAGCAGGAGCCCGCGGGACGCGCCGTAACCGGATCCCAGCGCTGACGGCTCTACAGCCCGGTATCGGAACACACAATTCCCCTCCCCGCGGGTTTTCCTCGCTCCAGTTCACCCCCGACCACCACGGCACGCCGGCACCGGGCAAAGCCCAGCCTTTCCTGACCCGGCCGGGCAGCGAGGCGACAGCGGGTGTGCGGGGGTTCCCCGGCGCTGCCCGGCGGTCCGGGGGCGGCCGTGCCGTGCCGTGCCGGGGTAGGGGCGCAGCGGCGCGCGGGGCCGGGGCCGGGGGGCGATGGCGCGCAGTGCCGGGCCCTTTGTGGCGCCCCGGCCGGCGGTGCCGCGGCGGCCGGGCCGTCGGGCCGGGCGGGCGGGTCCGGTTCGGACCCGGCTCAACACGCGGCGGGAGCGCAGCGCCGAGCCCGCGCCCTCCAACCGAGCGCCACCCGACGGCTCGGCCTCCGCTCCGGCCCCGCCCGCCGCGCACAACGTAGATTGTTGTCGAAGCCGGTGAGCACCAGGTTCTTGAGCAAGTCTGAGCCGATGCTCGCCGGCCACCACGAGCACCCGCGCTGGGACACCGGCTGGCCAGTCGAAGCGCAGCGGCCCCGACAGCGGCGCCGCGTGCGTTTGTTTTATTTTCCTTGAAGGTGGGGGACACGGCGCGGCCTCCGCGCGCCTCTCACGGCCGGCGCGGGGGGAGTGGGGGGGGGGCCGCCCGTTGCTCCGCCGCCTGCCGCCGGAGGACGAGCGGTAGAAGTGAGCTGGCGCCCCGGGGTTCGAGTCGCTCCCGCCGAACCGCCCCGGCGGTCAGCGAACCCCGTCCGGACTCAGCCGCTGGCAACCCGGCAGGCAACGGCCGGACACAGCGGGAGCACCCACGGAGCGCTCCGGCACACGAGAGCTTTGGCTCGTGTTTGTTTTGAAATAGATTATATTTTAAACATACATATTTCATATATTTATATATTCAATATCACTATATAAGTAATGGTTATATATTTAATATATTTATATAATATAGCTATACATATTATATATTTATATATTAAATAGATTTAGATCATAAATATATTTATGTATTATATTACTATACAGAGAGTTCAAGAAGCATTTGTACAATCCTCTCATGGTGGGATTCTTGGGGTATTTATTCTGTGCAGGGCAAGGAGTTGGACTCGATGATCCTGATGGGTCCTTTCCAACTCAGCATATTCTATGATATTTTTAATCTACTTAACATATTTATATTTAATATTTTTTGTATATTTATTATTATTACTCAGCCTAAGTTAACTAACTCTCCTCTAGAAGTTGATGTCATAAGCTACAATTCTTCCATTGAAAAGTAGCTTTGCAAACACATTCCACCAGTTCAAGCTGTCCTGTTGTTTGTCTGTCTGTGTGTCTCCCCCTCCCCTCATTTTAAGCACACACTTTTACAGCACTAATTTGTGCTGCAGCATTAAACCTGTACAGAATGCTCGAAGGACACTGACTTAAATTACTCCTCCATTCAGTCAATTTAGATACTGCAATTTAGCCCAAACCAACAGGGAATGCCAGAGAAGAATGCAGGCAGTTTAAAATTAAAGCAGCACAACTGGATTGTTGCATTGTTAGACACTTTCCGCTGTAGTTAGGAAAAAATAAAAACCCATAACAAGAAAAAACATCCAACAGACTTTTCATCTATGTAGAGAAATACAATTTATTTAAATAATTTCTGATCTGGGTCTTCTTGTACAAAAATAAATTCTTCAAGAGGTGTTTGGTGATTTGTTGGCCAACAGCTTCTCTCACATGTGTAAACTATAACAGTTCCAAATTCCACTGATAGATCTAAAAACAAAACAACAAAGGCAGGTGAAGGCAAGAAAAGTGACATAGTTGGGGACTATTGCTTACCACTATACTTCAGTCTTTGCAGAAACTATTAATTCAGAAAATATTTCTCATATTCAGTCTCCTATGTACACAGCATTTTCTGATTTTAAACGTTTTAAAGCAAGCTGACTTGGAATTTTTAAAGAGCTCCTTAAGTATCTGCAATCTTATCTGACAATATTTATTATTTTCCAAGGCCTCCTTTAAGAGGCAATAAAGACAAATTACTCCCAGGGTCATGGAATGATCCCTGCTGCAGTTATTAAAGGTCACTGGTGAGCAAGTGAAGGTGCAATCAGAGTACTCCCTTTTGCTCAGCGAAATCTCTAATGGAAACAGTGAATTCTACAGAACATGATCACTGTAGTGAGGCACATCAGTGCCTGTGGGGAAAAAGAAACAATCCAAATACCAAAAAGGTGACAGTTTTGGTATTGACTGAGGCAGAGCTCAGCACCTGAGTCACTCTGGAGCAGGCTGACCAGGGCTGGCATCAGCTGCAACTCAAACACTCTGCTGCTCCCACAGGTGCTGCAGGCTGGAACGCCCTGGCTGATGTTGGCTGGAGGACACGTGATGAACAAAGGCTGCCCACCCCAGGAGTATCTAAGAGAACAAAGGAAGGAACAAATAATTATTTGACAGGAAAACTGACATCTTGGCAACTGTGTTCTGGTTTCACTGCAATCTCTGAACTTGCTTGCAGTAAAAACCATGGTTATGAGTCAGAATCGTTGCCTAAGCTTCAAAAGAGTCATTAACCAAAGAATAAAGATGGGAAGGGGGAAATACTTGGAAGGTCAACACATGGAAAATCTTTAGGAAAGACCTGGTTTTAAGGAGATAAATGCTTTGAATTGACACCTCCAAAATGTGCTGTACTTGACTCATTTAATTAAGGAAACTACACTTTCCTGAAAAGTGGAATCCTAAATAGCAGCAGTAAAAGGTAAGATTCAAGGAAAAGATTCAACACAGAATAGGTCTCAAACCCACTGCAGTTATGGCTCAGAACTGGTGTTTTATTTCTAAGAGATCTCACAGCCTCATAACTAACAGGAAACCCAGACCAAGGATGGTTTCCACTGAACACCAAGCAGGAGATTGTGTGCTTTGCTGAAGCTCAACAAGATCCACAGCCCAGGAGCAATGGGAGTCCAACAGCACTGACATAACCCAGGGAGGGCAAAGGGAGGGCTATGGAAAGATTATAATGAGTGTTATATTAATATTTAAACTTTAAAAAATATTTTTAGTAATATAATATTAGACTTTAACTATTTTAACTATTTTATTATTTATAATTAATATTTTACACCCCAGGGATCACCAGAGGTGATGTTTTAGAATAAAAAATTCCAAGAGCACAATACTGCAAAGTGATAGATCCAGTGAAAAGCTGTAAGAAATGTTACTTGCACTCTGTGTTACTACATCTCCTGTATAACCTTTGGTAGTTAATTAATGAAAGTCCCTAATGTTTCTTATATGTGTAACCAGTCCCTCAGACTTTAGCTCCCATCACAAAGGCATCAGTTGGTTCCACTTGATTCTGGAAACTTGATAAAGCAAAAAGTGCCTTGTCACTACACTGAGCCAGCCTGACCAGCCAGGCAGCTCTGGAACACTTGGTGTGACCCAGGAAAACCTTGTGTATTATCTGCTACTATGAATGACTTATGATTTAATCCCCTTGTTCTGCTCCCATGCAGAATTAACTCCTCTTTTGGGAGAGTAGCTACTCTGAGGTTATGCTGCTTCTGCTCTGGGGAAAGCTCTGGGGATTTACAAGACCTGAAGACTGCAGGGGATCAGCACAAGAAGTTGTTACAGAACTGAAGCTTTTAAACAAGTAATTTCTTAATTCAGTAACATCTCAAGGACTGAGACATTAGAAATTACAAACAGGTTACAAAATTTGACAGGAGGAGGCGGCCTCAGAGACCTGTCCCAACAGCACAGCACTGTTCCACCTTACTTCCCAGACTTCCACCTCAAAACTGTCTCTTGAAAATCTGTGTCTGCATTTCAGTGAGTCTTCGAAGACAGTCTGGGTCTCTTCTCATCAGGTCTTGTGTCAAAAAAGTCTCCCATAACCAGAGCTGGGGCCTCTGATCCTACTTTGCTTCTCATCTACTCAGACTTTGTACAAAACCAGCCCAACCAGGGACTGAAGCCTGACCACACAGCCATGGCAACAACCATAATAAATTTTTTGATGAAGAAATAAAAGTATACATATCTTTCCAATGAAATAGTTTGGTTTGATGTACTAACAATGCGAGTCTACGATCTGTATCTCCCCATTACAACTAGATTACCTTAGAATCTGTTCAGGACACAGAGATATTCTTTTCATAAATTTATGAAACGTGTGGTCCCAGCTTTTGATTTCACTCTTCTCATATTTTTCATTACCACCTTCACCTGCAAAGCTGGAAGAAAACAAGGAAAGAAACAAGATGTCCAATAAAGTTTTCAGTATGACATGCATGTTTTAAATAAGCAATGGTTACTATACACTCACATTAAATTACACTAAGTACACTAAACAAAACTATATGTTAGGAGACAATTCCTATTGGGGCTGCAAGTGAACATTCTGCTTCTGGTTCTTCAGTTTCTGGTGGCTTACAATTACTAACAGTGCTTCAAACTATCCCATGGGATTCAAATCCACCAGCTTTATTCCTTCAAAAAACCCTTTAGTAACTTCTCAAAAGTTTTTCTACTTTTAAAATTATGATGTTGTCTTTTTCAGTTTTGAATCAAACATAATTAAGGTTCTATGATTCTATAAAAGTCAACAAAAAACTCAACAGGAACACCACTGCTGACAAGTGTTCTATGCAGATTCTGCAAGGACAGTAGCTTTAGCTATAAACAAACTCAACATTGTCCACAATTCAGGAAAAGTCAAATGACCTGGATATAAGTGCTCACTGTGACCACCTAAGTTAAACATTTTATTAAGAAAATTTTTTCAGTAACTACATTCAAAAATTGTTTTTCAGACAACCTTTACTAAACCTTCAGGAGTCTTACCATCATGACAGTCTCTAGCCAGAAATCCCTAAATCCCTGAACTCTTAAAAATGCAACTTCAACATAAGAAAAGCTTTAGCCTTGTAAAGAAAAAGTGTCAAATGTCACAATATAAACCCGTGGCACTTAGCACAGATATTGTTTCAGCCACCCTGGTTTGGATCCAGAGATTGACTGTCCTCTGCTCTATCTACAGCCCAAGAACATTCCAACTGCTCAGAAATAGATGCATCTTTGAAAAACTCAAAATTTGACAGAACTGGGTGCACTGTTCTGTTCTTCCAACAAACCAGTGTTCCTGAAGGAGCCAGTTCCAAACAAAATCATTCAGGTTTAGTGACAGTCCCATTTAGATCATCAGTCAGCACACAGGAAACTACACAATTCCTCCAGTTTCACCATGAAATCCAAACCTGTTCTCACCTTTCTGACATCATCTGTTCCAAATCAAGCCCCTCTCTCTGCTGATACTCCTTCAGCAGCTCATCTGCATGGTCTGTATCCAGGAAGCCACTGCAGTCTTCCTCATCCACCACATTAATATAAAAGGGTTGGAAGACAGGAGCAGGACCAGGTGTTTCCATGACCATTTCCTCACTGGCTGCAGGATGTGTGTCCTGGGAACCTGAGCCCTCTGCAGCCTCAGCCAAGCGAAGCTGTTGGAGCTGGGATGCACAGTCCAGCTCTCTGGACAAGGAGCTGCTCACTGCCTCACCTAAGCCCAGCAGGGAGGCACATGCAGGAGGCTCTGCAGCATCACTGACTCCCCAGTCATCTGCCTCCTCACACCAATCCTTTGCAGCAAAGTTTGATCCTTGTTTCTGAGAACCCCCCAAAAAAGGGAAAAGAACATTGTCAAGTCATCCACCCAAAGCACTTCAAATACAGTTTCCTAACAGCTGAGAAAACTGAAACCTTAACCTAGTGCTCAGTGTTATTTCACATATTCTCCTCACAGTGTTACTTCCCATCACACACACACGTTTACTTTTCACATCAGAACAGTTATGGCAAGGAACATCTCACGCTGGAGAATCAGAACAAGAATTCATCAGCTGTTTGAGTGGCCCTTGTCCATCCTGCTGCCATGGCCCTGCCAGCTGGCTGGGGACCTCCAGCTGCAGCACAGTTACTGCCACACAGGTAAGTCCAAGGGTAGAATGTGGAAGCAAGTAATAACAATAATGACACCACCATCATTTTGTCAGAGTAAAGCTCATTTACAGACCAAAATTTCACGTTGCAAATGCCCCAGCTGAATAAACAGTTCCTGCCTGTTTTCACTAATTTGACTGCCACCTGCCTCTTCCAATCTGCTTAAGCCAATATGCAGTTTTTTCTCACAAGTGTATTAACAATAATTCAGTTGGATTAATTAAAACTCAAGACAAATTTTTAAAAAATAAATTTAAATTAGAAAATAAAGAAAACACCTTAAAGGTCTGAACCTAAACAGTATAGCCCAATCATCTGAAGCTGAAAAATGTTTAGTTAGCACCACTAACAAAAGTATTAAATATCAGCTTTGACGATACAATCGAAGTGTGATTTCCACTTTAAAATCATCCTAAGGTAGATCACAGATGTAAGTTAATCTTCTAGTAAACGACGTAGTATGGTATCAAAAATTCTGTGACCGTGAATTCTTCACA